TTTCTTGGGTTATTTTCTTATTGGCTGTTGTAGGGATTACTATCTTTATATTAACTTGGTAGACTGTACTTAATTTTAGTAAGATTTATAAGCGTATCTTTTTTTTCCTTAAGCTTATCTCATTTTACTGGACTCCTTTTTATTGTGCTGCACAGGAATTGCAGGGTTTTTTTTTTTCTTTTATACCAAATTGAAGGTTTGTGGCAACCCTGGAGTGAGCAAGTGTATCTGTTTCATTTTTCCAATAGCATGTGCTCACTTAGTGACTCTGTGTCCCTTTTTATTAATTCTTATATAATATTTCACACATTTTTATTATTGTGTCTGTTGCAGCTATGTATAATCAGTGACCTTTGATGTTACTATCAGGTGAAGTTAATGTATGTGTTCTGACTGCTGTACCAACTGGCTGTTCCTCATCTCTTTCTACTCTCCTCTCCTCAGGCCTCCCTAATCCCTAAAACAAAGCAATATTGAATGTAGGACAATTAGTGACCCTTTGACAGTGCACATAGTCACTTAGGAGCTCTGATGAAGATGTACAAGAAAATGAGTGTTCTTTTCATGCCCATTAACACAACATCCATCCGGCAGTCTGTAGATCTAGGATTCAATTTGACGCAAAATCTTACTATTTAAGAAATACATTTCGAAAGGCTATGGCTGCTATATAGAGGGTGATTCCTCTGATGGATCTGGGCAAAGTACATTGAAAATCTTCTGGTAAGAATTTACCATACTAGGTACCATTAAGAACATTTGTGATTTACGGGAGGAGGTCAAAATGTCAACATTAATGGGAGTTTGAAAGAAGTTGATTCTATCCTTCATGGATGACTGAAGGATTGAAGACTTCGATGGAGGAGGTAACTGCAGATGTAGTGGCAATAGCAAGAGAGCTAGAATTAGAAGTGGAGCCTGAAGATGTGACTGAATTGCTGCAATCTCATGGTCAAACTTGAATTAATAAGTGTCTTCTCATAGATGAACAAGGAAAGTGGTTTCTTGAGATGGAATCGATTTCTGATGAAGATGCTGTAAACATTGTTGAAATGACAATGAAGTATATAAAATATGCACTATATTTAATTGATAAAGCATCAGCAAGCTTTGAGAGAATTGACCGCAATTTTAAAAGTTTTACTGTAGGTAAATGCTGTCAAACAGCAGTGCATGCTACAGAGCAATATTTTATGGAAAGAAGAGTCAATTGTAGCCAACTTCGTTATTTTAAAACATGGCTGGGCATAGTAGTTCACACTTTTAGTCTCATCCCTTTGGGAGACAGTAGGATTGCTTGAGTTTGAGACCAGCGTGGGCAACATAGCAAGACCTTGTCTTTACTGGGGCGGGGGGGAGGAAAAACATAAAGGAAGGAAAGAAAAGAAAGAAAGGTGGTGCCCTAACCACCATTTCAGTGAGTCAGAAGCCATCAACACTGAGACAGGACTTTCCACCAGCAAAAAGACTTGCAGAAAGCAGTTTTCTCCTGTAAAGCTTTGTTGCCCTCTTCCCCTTTTTGCTGTTATAATAAACATTATATATGTTAAAAACTCAACAATATATTGTTAAACTTACTGCTTTATAAAATCTTATGCCTTTTAAAGAGTTTATATGTGTGTGTTTTCCCATTTACCATTTTGGTGTATCTTCATTTCTTCCTATTTGAGTTACTGTCTAGTGTTAATTCTTTTAATTTAATTAATTAATTTATTTTGAGATGGAGCCTTGCTCTGTCACCTAGGCTGGAGTGCAGTGGCAAGATCTCAGCTCACTGCAACCTCTGCCTCCTAGGTTCAAGTAATTCTCCTGTCTCAGCCTCTGCAGTAGCCGGGACTACAACCATATGCTACCATGCCCAGCTAATTCTTGTATTTTTAGTAGAAACATCTAGAACTCCTGACCTCAGGTGATCTGGCTGCCTCAGCCTCCCACAATGCTGGGATTATAGGCATGAGCCACCCTACCCAGCCTAGGTGTTAATTCTTTATTATAGCTTTGTCCCAATCCTGGTTCATTGTAACTTTGTTACATTGTTTGAGGTCTTGGTCTCCTAAGTCCAACATCTGGGCACACTAAAAGGAAGTTTCTCTTCCTGCTCCTTTTTCTTGTTGTGTGTTTTTTATTTTTTAATTTTTTGTTGAAGCCCTGATTTAGGTAATATAGCCCCCCTGGATAATGATTCTCCTTCTCCCTATATGTCTTACTGTTTTTGTTTAGTCACTTATTTGTTTAATCACTTTGCGGACTGATTTTCTGAAGTCTCTTTTTTCGGTGGTGTACAACATCAGATGGCCCTGCTCAAACAAATGTAGGACCCACCGTACCTCACCAGTCCATTTTTTTTTTAGCTTGACTTCCTAGGATTCCCATACTTTGGGGCCACATAAATCACTTACTGTACTTAACTCCTTAGCCAGTTGCTTTTTCACCCTTTCCTTTTAGAGGTGTATGTTGCTTAGAGAATATTTTCCAAAGATATCAGAGGTTATTTTCCAGTAATTTTGTAGAGGGTATAAAGTTGAGCTTGTCTTATGACCACTAGGTATCAATGTGATTTTACTTTGAAGTTTGACTTTTTAGGAATTGCTCCTGGGTCCGAGTAACTAATTTTTCAGCCAGTTTTTAATCAGAAGTTGTACTATAGCCCCTTGAGCTTTATTGATTGTTGCATTTGTATTTGGCGTGGGGAATGCTTTTAGTTGGTCACAAATCCTGATACAATTTCTTCCCATTGGGTGCAACCTAGTTCATTTGCAAAACATTCTAGAACCCCAGGGATGAGTATGATATGATACCAGGAGGGTCCTTCTGTTTTTCTCTAGTTCACTCTGTTAATCTTCTGGCTGTTCAGCTGTTGTAGTTGTTTCTCCTTGTAACTATCATTGTTGTCCTAATTGCTAACAAGTCTCCATTGTTTAGTTTTTTTCCCTCTGACTTTACTTAAATTGTAGTGAGTATACTGGAAAACAGAATTCAGGTACTCTTAGTTTTCATTTTTTTCTTATTTTTGTTTGATAAACCATAATTGTATGTGTTTGCAGAGTACAGTGTGATGTTTTGAGACACACACACACAGTGCGGAATTTTTTTTTTTTTTTTTGAGATAGAGTTTTGCTCTTTTTGCCCAGGCTGGAGTGCAATGGCACAATCTTGGCTCACTGCAACCTCCGGGTTCAAGCGATTCTCCTGCCTCAGCCTCTTGAGTAGCTGGGTGTGTGCCACCATGCCCCGCCAATTTTTGTATTTTTAGTAGAGAGGAAATTTCTCCATGTTGGTCAGATTGATCTTGAACTCTTGACTCAGGTGATCCGCCCACCTCAGCCTCCCAAAGTGCTGGGATTACAGGCCTGACCCACTGCTCCCAGCCACTTCTCCATTATTTTTGATAACATCCTTAAGCATGAACTCTAAGCCTGTTAAAAACAGAGTCTGTCTTCTCAGGCAGAACTGCTGAATTCTTTGGTTCTTAAAGTTCCCATAAATGTATACCCTCTGCCCTGCTGCTCTGGAACTGGTGATGGCATGAGTATTCTCTTCTGAAGAGAGACTCTTGCTTTATAAGAGTGTATTGAGAGAAGGGAAGGATATGACGGCTTCTTACTTTGTCAGTTTGTTTCTCCTAATATGGAACTTTCCACTCTACTAAAAGCTGGGGCAGGGATGACAGGGCCCCAGGATTCTTGGCTTGTTGTGAGGGTGGGATTCTGTGAGCCACTGAAACTGACCTCCTCTTTTGCATATTTTCCCTGATTTTTGCCATATAGAATGTTACTGTTTCAGTGTGCTCTGTTTACAGATTTTTTTTTTTTTTTATCATTTGTAGGCAAAAATGCAAGCTAAATTCTTTCATTGTAACTGGTACTTAGAAATGCTTTTATTCAGTGTGTCTAGATAGGTTTTGTTGTTAGGCTTTTACTTTTTAGAAGTGTAAAATGATGTTTGTAATTCAGTTGAGTCTGAATCCTAGTTTTTCAATAGAGGAGTTGAAATCATGTACCTAGTTAGATAATTAAGTTTGTTATTTTTTTAACTGTGTCCTTGTAAATATTGTTGCATGGTTGTTATTTGGCACCACAGTGCAGAGTGAATGAAACCATGGGGTCATATTGAAGTTGGGCTAGGTTATACTTTATTATTATATATAAATTAGTTTCTTTTTTGACATGTATCACTTGATTATATGTAGTTAGATAACTTTTTGTATCCTTAGCTTACAGTCCCCTGATTTTATTCATTATACACTGACACAGATTATCATTTTTGCAGGTCAGTCTTTTGTCACATGATCAGCCATGATTTTTGAGCTGTGAAAACTTTGTATTGCCTGTTAGTTATTTGCACCTGGGAAATGGAAGATGTCAGTCAAAATTTCTGAAGGTGTTCATTGGCTTTGTATCTCTTGGGCATTTCTGACCTACTTAGCTGAAGTATCTTCTTCTATAGCCCACATATGTCAGCTTGGTGGGGATGAATGACAGTCTACCCGTATAGAATTCCTCATAATCAGTTGAAATGAATGACCTAAACCTTGCTCCTTCGTGGGGGGCTATTCTTTGTCTCTTAGGTTCCAACACCCTGTTTCAGACTCTCTTTGATATGATTATTTCCTGCATAGGGGAAAGATAAATATTGATTTTACACCCTTGTTACAAGAATCAGTTTTGATGACAAGGTGTTGGGAAGAAAAGGTATGGTAGATTGTATTGTGGCCCCCTGGCCTCAGTGCCTGGGAAGAGTCTTCCTGTCTTGCAAAGTTTTTGAAACTGATGAAGATAATGCCTTAGTGTGAATTTTTTAATAGGACTATTTGTATGTCTTTGTTTATATTTTCCTGTTTGTATTATTTGCAAAAATTAGATTATTTTCCAAAAATGAATTCATATTTTTAGTTAAGGTAGGTTAGTTAGTAGACCTGATCTTCATTTCTGAAGATAACTATATAATTCTGATTCATGTTAAGAACATGTATGATTTCTGTTTTGTTTTTTTACCCCAAGACTTGCTACATTTGTGATGAACAAGGAAGAGAAAGCAAAGCAGCCACTGGTGCTTGCATGACATGTAATAAACATGGATGTCGACAGGCTTTCCATGTAACATGGTAAGGATGTTTCCATTGTTGCACAGAACTGAACTTGGCAAATACCTTGCATAACAATCGTAAGTTAAAGAGTTAGGATACTCAAACATTAATTATGGTAAATTTTATTGGGATACTTTCTATGTTCACATTTACTTCTTTGTAACAAGATAATTCTTATAACTGAATATATTTACTAGGGTGATTTTGCAATAAGTGGACCCTGGTTCTGATGTTCTATTCTCTATAAGCTTCAGTTTCATCTTGTTTAACATTTTGGTATTGATTGCTTACTCTTTGATTTGTTATTATTAAGTGAGCTAATCTAGGTAAACTTAGTATAGTGTCAGAAATATTAGTAAGGATTCAATGAATGATAGTACCTCTGTACCTTCTGTGTCTCAAGTGACAAGTAGTGTGACCACTGTAATTCTCAATATTACAATGGTGACTTCTCAAAAATTTACTTCAGATATTCTTTCAGGCCAGGTTTAGTGGCTCATACCTGTAATCCCAGCACTTTGGGAGGCTGAGGCATGTGGATCACCTGCATTCATGCGTTCTAGACCAGCCCAGCCAACACGGCGAAACCCTGTCTCTACTGAAAGTACAAAAGTTAGCTGGCCTGCGCAAGGATGACACGCAAATTCGTGAAGCGTTCCATATTTAAAAAAAAAAAAAAAATTTGTTGGTTGTGGTGGTGCGTGACTGTAATCCCATCTACTCGGGAAGCTGAGGCGAGAGAATTGTTTGAACCTGGGAGGTGGAGGTTGCAGTGAGCCGAGATTGCGCCATTGCACTCCAGCCTGACACTGTCTCAATTTAAAAAAAAAAAGAATATTGTTTCAGCCACAAAATTTTAGGATCAAAAATTATTTGTAACAATATATTTTATATAATAGGTAACAGTTCCAAACAAAAAGTTTGAGAATATTCTATGCATTTACTAATTTTAAGAATCAGTCTGTGCCATGCTGCCAAGTGTAGGTACATGCTCATTTCCCGAGTTTTTAGTGTTTGGTTATATGAAATCTGTTTTATAGTACTACTGTGAAATGGAAAATGGCTTTTGACTTTTATAAATTCTCATAATGGCTGTACCAAATTTCTCAAAGATGAAAGTAGTTTTTGGGATATGAGATCTGTATACTAATATAATTTTGGAATGTTAAAAGTGTGAAAGGTCAAATTGAAAAGATGACAATTACAAAGTTTTTAAAAATGAATATGCCGGGTGCAGTGGCTCATGCCTATAATCCTAGCACTTTGGGAGGCAGAGGTGGGCAGACCACCTGAGCTCCAGAGTTTAAAACCACCACCCTGGGCAACGTGGTGAAACCTCATCTTTACTAAAAATTCAAAAAAATTAGCTAGGCATGGTAGAGTGCACCTGTATTCCCAGCTACTCTAGAGGCTGTGGGAGAATCGCTTGATCCTTGGAGGCTGAGGTGGCAGTGAGCTGAGATTGCATGACTGTATTCCAGCCTGGGTGACAGAATGGGACTCCATCTCAAAAAATAAAAATGAATATTAGCTGGGTGCAGGGGCTATGCCTGTAATCCCAGCACTTAAGGAGGTCGAGGTGGGGGGATTGCTTGAGCCCAGGAGTTAAAAAGCAGCCTGGGCAACATAGGAAGACACCTCATCTCTACTGAAAACAAAATTAGCCAGGTGTGATGGTGTACTCCTGTAGTCCCAGCTATTTGGGAGGCTGAGGTAGGATGATTGCCTGAGCCCAAGAGGTGAAGGCTTCAGTGAGCTTTCATTGCACCACTGCACTCCAGCCTGGGTGACAGAATGAAACCCTGTCTCAAAAAAAAAAAAAGAATATTGTAACTTTAGGTCTCATTTTCATTTCTTTCATTGCTTTTGACTGAAAAACACAATTTATGGTTGTCTTGCTCATTGTGCTGTGACTTAAAGCATTTAGAGTTGCAGATTTCTTCTTGAGTGAATGCATGTTTTCCTTGTAAGATTATGTAATCTGCATCCATGGGCTAAATACCATTACTTTAGCCCTTTAGAGGCATGGCCTTTCCATTTGTACCTGTGACAGATTGGAAAAGTAGAATGAAGTGTGAACTGATGGTGTGAGGTTGAGGGGAAGAGAATGTATCTTAAATTTACTATCTATTTGGTACTAACAGAGATGTATGAAGAGTTTGTTTTAAGCCATAAATATAACTTTAAAAAAAGATCAGTTGCAGGTTGGGGTGAAATATATTTGGTCACAGCTAGAATAAAGCTTTTTATTTTCCCATTTTTTTCTTAGGAGATATATTTTCTCGGAGTATGAATGCTTGAAAGTAAATTTTATTTGCTTATATATACAGTTACTGTGGTTTAGTATATCAGTAAATATACTTGCCTTTTATTTTCAGTGCTCAGTTTGCCGGACTGCTTTGTGAAGAAGAAGGTAATGGTGCCGATAATGTCCAGTACTGTGGCTACTGTAAATACCATTTTAGTAAGCTGGTAAGAATTTGTCTTGTATTCATTGAAATGATAATGATTAGTTTTGACAATAGAAAGACACTGTTTTATTAAGAAAAAGCACATAACAATTCCTTTTTCCTTCAGTTTTTGGCTTGAGATTGTTAGTTTAGCATGTTCTTTATTGGAAGTAAAAGATCTATAATAGTAATTTTAATAGATTTTGCCTTGCTTCAATTTATTTGTAAAGGTGAATATTCTAAAGTGCTCTCATGTAGGATAAATATTAGGCTGGGCACAGTGGCTCACAGCTGTAATCCCAGCTACTCAGGAGGCTGAGGCAGGAGAATTGCTTGAACCCTGGAGGTGGAGGTTGCAGAGAGCCGAGATTACACCATTGCACTCCAGCCTGGACAACAAGAATGAAACTTTGTGTCATATATATATATATATATATAGTTATTATTAATATTGATAGTGAAGATTGCTATACATTTAGCCAATTTGATTTTTGGCACTGATTATACGTTTTGTGATTATCACTTTGTTTCTCATCTTTCTGCTTAATTACTATTGCCCATTATTTATTTATTTTTATTTTTGTTTACTGGGAAGTAGCAAAACTGAAATAAGCCTGTTTTGTAACTTGCTTAAAAACCTTCAGAAAAATATATTTAAATGCAGCTTTGGGAATTCTTTAGATTTGGTTACTGTTTGCTGTCACATATGAATCATGGTCACATATGATTGAGTTAGTAACATTTGATTGGCTCTTACATGTTTGTGTCCTTGTTCCTTTGAAGGATTAGTATGTCTTTGATGTCCCAAGTATCTATTTCTCATTCTTTTTTAATGGTAGATATTCATGCACTGAAAGTTTAAGGGTTCTTTATTTTTCTTTTATTGTCTGATTTTAAAATTATTATCTTTCCCTTGTGAATGGGGCAATTTCTTTTTAAAATAAATACTATGAGGGGCCCCTGACTTATGAAATGGGAAGCTCAGGCCTCCAATATTCTGGTTCTTATATATGAATTGCTTAAGAGTATGTATCTATATATCCTTTGATGCTGAACAGCTTGATTTATTTTCATGACCAAGAAAAAATTTAAGACTATAAAATTGAAAATTTTTCTTGGTGTAATAAGCGTAATTGAAATCTTTATTTTCTGAATAAGAGATGATATAAATAATAAAAAATGGATTTTGAAGTTTGTGCAAATAAATTTTCTTATTGCTAATTATAGACATGATGTTATTCCATTTGGTAGTTGGGAAAAATGTTTAATGATTTAATAAGATTGTATAAACTACATTTGCATGGTATTTGAACTTTTTTATAGTCATTTTTATCTAGCTTACACCAATTAGATATGGTACCACCAACTTTTAAACACCTCAAATAACTCTCACCTTCATACTTAATTATGCAGTGGTACAAGTGTTTAAACAGAAATGTGTGATGCTTTTTAGTAATGCTTTGAAAATGCATGAGTCTAATACTGACATTTCCTTTAATTAAAAACAATTTTTTTGTTATTTGCTCTATCAAATATAATGTGGAGGAATTAAGTTTTTTCTTATTGAACTGCAGTGATAAATTTTTTGAAAACTGTATACCTTAATACTGAAGGTATAAGATTAAAAGGCTTCTTGCTTTTCCTAGCAGCATAAAGTAACACTTCAAATATTTGCCTGTCTATTCTTCTAGTCTTGGCACCCTTTTTTAATATGGCATTTTCTCTTTGGGTTGAAACTTTATTTTTAAGCTGATATTGAAAATACATAGTAGCTTATTTGAAAATAGGTAATCTATTTTCACATATTTTAATTAATTTATAAAAATATGGCGTTAATGTTTAGATTTTCTTTTATATTGCAATGGATAATATATCAATGATGTCTAAACTGGATTATATAGATTCAAACAGACTTTTTAAAAGTTTCAGTAGGCATTAAATATACTTCAAAGTTGAATTGGTTTAAGCCTAATAAAAAGATTCTTATACAAAGTTTTATATACATATACATATATGTATATATATTTTCTTTTTTAGAAAAAGAGCAAACGGGGATCTAATAGGTCATATGATCAGAGTTTAAGTGATTCTTCCTCTCACTCTCAGGATAAACATCATGAGAAGGAGAAAAAAGTAAGTGGATTTGTTGTTGCTAAATTCGTAGCACATCTGCTTAATAGAGTTTTTTTTTTTTTTTTTTTTTTTTTGCCTTTTTAGATAAAATTACATTCTCGATAGTTAAATGGAGACATTGAAATATAGAAAAATTTTGGCCAAAAAAGAGTTCATTTAATGAAAGGATAGGTTTAAAAATAATGCCATATTTGTGAATATGGTTTTACCCATTGCAACTGAAAATTTAAATTATAACTTCATTGAAAGCATGAGAGCGATTTCTTCCATGTATTACTGTTGTCATCTTGTGAAATCTTTAGGTGACTTCAGCAATAGTAGTTCGTTGCTATATATTATTAACTGATTACTTCGCCTTAAGTAATTATCAACTTTTTCCTTTATAATAGAACAGTTTTGAAGTTCTATATGTTATTGGTTATTTTTTCCTTTTCAGTGATGCTAATGGTTTATTAATTTTTTTTCTAGTGGCTAAATGTCTTATCTTTTGTTTGATAATATTTTGGCCTTTAATTATAACACTAAAAGCTTGCCTAAATACTAATCTGTCTTCTTCTATCTTGCCTGTTTTCCTGCTTACATTTTTACTTGCTTTATAGGGAATAATTACTCTTTAATAAACTAAAAATTGTGTATATTTAATTTGTTCTTTGATATGTTCTTTAATAAGGACATATTGCCATTAACTGAGCATGGTGGTGGGTGCCTGTAGTCCCAACTACCCAGGTTACTGAGGTGAGAGAATTGCTTGATTGAGGCTGTAGTGTGCTGGGATTGTGCCAGTGCATACCAGCTTGGTTGACAGAGTGAGACCCCTGTCTCTTAAAAAGAATCTATTATGAATTGTTTTTAAGGAAGTGAGGATAAAAAGGACATTGTCAAATGGAAAATATTTTTCTTAGAAAGTTAGTATACACTAGTTTTGGAAATTTTTATGTAGCCTGTATTTAAAATTTAGATCGCTTATCATTTTCATATTTGTAAATATGATTTGGTAAATGCCAACAAATAATTGTTTAAAAACATTTTGGGCCTGGCATTTGGGCCTGGCATGGTGGCCTCACGCCTGTAAGGCCATGCACTTTGGGAGGCCAAGGCAGGCGGATCACCTGAGGTCAGGAGTTTGAGACCAGCCCGGCCAACATGGTGAAACTTTGTCTCTACTGAAAATACAGGAAAAAAAAAAAATTATCTGAACGTGGTGGTGTGTGCGTGTAATCCCAACTACTTGGAGGTTCGGGCAGGAGCATCACTTGAACTCGGGAGATGGAGATTGCAGTGAGCCGAGATCTGCATTCCAGCCTGGGCGACTGAGCCGAGACTCCGACTCAAAAGGAAAAAAAATTTTTTTGGTTTGAATTTGTTTGTACTTTTTTTCAAGGTAAACACTTAAAAAACTTAAGTAGTTTTAAGAGTAAATTCTTTATTATGAGTGAAATAATTATAACCAGGGCAGTTGTTAGGCATTTATTTATTTAGAGATACAATCTCACTCTGTCGCCCACGCTGGAGTGCAGTGGCACGATCTTGGGTTACTGCAACCTCTGCCTTCCAGATTAAAGTGATTCTTGTGCATCAGCCTTCCTAGTAGCTGGGATTACAGGCCTATGCCATCATGCCTGGCTAATTTTGTATTTTTAGTAGAGACAGGGTTTCACTATGTTGACCAGGCTTGTCTTGAGCTCCTGGCCTCGTGTGATACACCCACCTTGGCCTCCCAAAGTGCTGGGATTACAGGCATGAGCCACCATGCCTTGAGATCTATTTTAGATCTCAAGCAGCAAATAAACATATATATATTTTGATTTCTTTTTGAGCTGGTTTTGTTATAAAGTGACAGTAGTAAAAAGCCTGTCTTGTTTATTGTTGATTAGATTGCTTATAAAAAAATAGCAGGGTTAGTTTAATTAACAGCTTTAGTAATAAGCACCATGAGATTTTATTTAAGCTTTTTAAGCCAGCAACTAAGGATTCTTACACAGGGCTCATTATAAATTGTGAAGAGGGATGCCTCACTATTATGGTGTTCTGCCATTTTATGTATATTATCTTATTTAAAAATTGCTTACTATATGATCATATTTATTTTAGTATATGGCCTGTCATGTTTTATTTGAAGGACAGTTATTAAATATGGTATGGTGTTGAATTAATATAGTGTTGATGACTACGTGTATAAATCTTCTTTTGCTCTGGGAATGAATTAGATTTTGTATTTTAAGAATTTTTGTGGTGGTTGAGTGAATGCTAAATTTAAAAACATTGTATTTAGTCAAAATTGTTTAGCTTTAACACTTAGAAGTATGTAAATACAATTTGCATTTTGCTTTTGGCATATATAAGTTTAATATAACTTGATATTTTTGCATTTGGATAATAGCCGAGGTTTACTGATCATCTATAAAGTAAGCACACTGTAAATGAAGTAAACATACTATAAGTTTATTGTTAGACATGCTTGCTTTGCTTGGGAATATTTGGGAAAGGACTTTAAAAATATGGGATCATTATAAGTAATACATTAGTTAAAGATTGAGTATTACAGACTGTCTTTTTCTCCTTCCTTCCTTACCTCTTTTAAGATTTTTTTTTCTAGTAGAACAGGTAGGTATTCCTGCTAAAAAGATTTTTATGTTTAGTACAGTTGTCTTGAAAATATGCCCAGCATGTTTTTATTATTACACTGAAAGGTAACACTCATTATCTAGTCAGACATTAGTATTTTTAAAATAGACAGTTCCCAACTTGAGATCGTTCGAATTACAATTTTTAGACTTTACAATGGTATGAAAACAATATGCATTTATTGTGTTTCTCAATTTACCATGGGGTATGTCAGGATAAGCTTTTTTGGAAGTTGAAAATACTGTAAGTTGAAAACACATTTTTAACAGGATATTTCTAAGTTATGATGGATTTATTAGGAGTAGCTACACTGTAAGTTGAGGAGTTATCTGTATTGTCATAATATACAATATTATGAGCTAAATTTTGGTGATACTGTTCATAAGATATACATTGAATCACTTTCTCTTCATTTACCTGCCTTCGTTCTGGCACCTATTTTTCTTCATTTACAATTTTAAGAATTTGATTTTTTTTTTTTTTTTTTTTGATACGTGGTCTTGCTCTTGTCATCCAGGCTGGAGTGCAATGGTGAGATCTCGGCTCATTGCAACCTCCACCTTTTGGATTCAAGTGATTCTCCTGCCTCAGCCTCCTGAGTGGCTGGGATTACAGGTACTCCCCACCACGCCCAGCTAATTTTTTTATTTTTAGTAGAGACGGGGTTTCACCATATTGGCCAGGCTGGTCTCGAACTCCTGACCTCCGGTGATCCATCTACCTTGACCTCCAAAGTACTGGGATTACAGGTGTGAGCCACCACACCTTCCCAAGAATTTTGCTTATTTTTTTTGAGAGAGGGTCTCACTCTGATGTCCAGGCTGGAGTGCAGTGGCACAATCTCGGTTCACTGCAGCCTCTGCCCCCTGGGTTCAAGCAGTTCTGCCTCAGCCTCCCAAGTAGCTGGGATTACAGATACTCACCACCACGCCCAGCTAAGTTTTATATTTTTAGTAGAGAAGGGGTTTCGCCATGTTAGTGAGGCTTGTCTTGAATTTCTAACCTTGTGATCTGCCCACCTCGGCCTCCCAAAGTGCTGGGATTACAGGCGCCAGCCAAGAATTTAATTTTTCAAAAGGAGATCAGTTGAAAGGTGCCTATTATATCAGAGGACTGCCCCCCACTCCCCATACACTGGCGCTATGAGGCAGAAAGCAGGGGCAGCGAGGTTGAGTGGGATTCAAAATACCCCTGCCCCTCCACACACTGCCCATGGGCAGGGAGGAGAGACAAGGGGCCAAACTTTCTTGTTTCTTTTGCTATTGTTTCTCTTCTCTTCTCTTTTTTTCTTTTTCTTTTCTTTATTTGAGATAAAGTATCACTCTTTTGCTCAGGCTGCAGTGCAGTGGCACACTGCAGCCTTGATCTCCGGGGCTCAAGGGATCCTTCCACATCAGCCTCCTAAGTAGCTGGGAGTATAGGCATATGCAGCCATTCCTGGCCAAATTTTTTTTCTTTTAAATTTGTAGAGACGAGGTCTCCCTATGTTGTCTAGGCTGGTCTCTAACTCCTGTGCAGAAGCAATCCTCCCACTCCGGCCTCCCAAAGTACTGGGATTACAGGCAGGAGCCACCACACCCAGGCTGATTAAGGGCTAGTTTCTACAAAAATTCAAAATTTGATATATATTTCAAAAGGAACCAGAATATATATTTGAAATTAATTAAAGCCATGTCTATCAGGGTTAAATTCAATCAGTAAGAATTCAAATTGTGAATTATTTAAGTAGAATGTCTTCTAATATTTGTTATGCCTATTAATGTCAGTTAATGTTGATTAGTAAAAGGAAAGCACACTGTTGTTTTGTAATTACACTTTTGATAACAAATGTGGGTTTTGTTTTGTACACCCAGTTAATCACCCAATGATCAGTTCTGACTTTACCCAGAGTTAGTGCAGATCCCACAGACTAAGAACTCGGTCCCATGAGACTGCCCCCACTTCAGAGGCCAGCTGCAAGACCCAGATTGTTAACCTGTACTTTTGACCAACTGGTTATGAATTGGGGGTTCTACACAACCTTCTCCTTAAATAAGGTAATTTGCTACAATAGCTCACAGAACTCCAGAATAGTATCATTACTGGTATATTATAAAGAATATAGCTCATGAATAGCTGGATGGAAGAGACACATAGGACAAGTTATGGGTGAGGGAGATGGAGCTTCCATGCCCTCTCTAGGTGCTCTACCCACCCAGCACCTTGTTGTGTTACTGACCTGGAAGCTCTTGGAACTTCATTGTTAAGATTTTTTGTGGAGGTTTCTCATTATGTAGGCACAATTGATTAAATCATTGGTCACTGGTGACTGAATTCAACCTCTAGCCCTTCATCGTCCACAGAGGTACAGGGGTAGGACTTAAAGTTCCAAATCT